TTTCAGTCAATGGTTTATGAAATACAGCAAGGCCCGAGTGGAAAGTCCGAGCTTCCAGCCCTGGTATGGCAGAATGACAGAGGAATCAATAAGATGAAGAATGGACAACACCACCAAGGCTAAGGTTCCTGAGATGGTTAGATCAGGTGGCCCTCCCTCTCATCTATCAAAACATATAACAGAGGTGGGGGGGGGGATTTGTCAAACAACGTCTTGTTTGAGAAATCCCCCAATTGACTGTTATTTACAACTGGTTTGAAGGCGATAGAATAGATTTCTTATCTGACACACTCCTTGCATGTCATTCTCATGGTAATCTTAATGGAAGGTAAATGTGTATAATACATGATATAGAGAAAATTGAGAAAGATATTGCACAAGCCATAAAGATGAAAAGCTATAGCTTTGGCAAGAGTTGACATTTTGTCAAACACTGGATTTGTTTACGAAATGTACACCAACATTTGTTTTCAACAACATTTCTTTGATGGATCATTCATTGGTTGTACAATAGGTGAGGCATGTAATGGTGCTTATATTTATGTATTATGAACCTTATTTGTTTTACAGTTGAAAGTATATTCTTATGTTCAAAAGAGACATGAAAGAACAATGTATTTGTAGGTGCATTTCCTTATCCTTATATTTATTGTATTATGCCCACATAATAAATACAAAAAGCAGTTAAAATGCATTTGTTACCCATATGAGGTAGTATTGCACTTGGTGTGGTTAAACTAACTCTACACTCGCCCATCTGCACAGCATGTATGTACTGTTGATGGAGAACCCATGATGCCCAGTAGATGTCAGCCTTGTTAGTAGGAAGTACTTACTGGCTACATTGTATTTACAGCTTCACATACATAATACATAGTCTGCTGTATTGAACTGCCTAAATGTTATTTATAGCACGATCCATACCATCATAATAGTGTGCCTATTGGATCCATAACCAGAAAACACACAATCATAACAATATATATTCTTTGTTCAAATAATTGTGCATTTATTTACTTATTTCTCCATGGAAAACTATGAAATGTTGGCATTTTGATCTGACAATTGCTTAAGAAGTGTATAAAGACAAAAAAGAATCCCCACTCCTATTTGAGGCTTTGCCATAACATATTATTTAGTAGTCTGTCCTATGTGTATTTTGGTCTGAAGGTAATCTAGCATGCGAGGAGGGAAGTCATGGGTGAAGTTAAGAATGAAAAAAACCTACAAAGGAACCTTGCGGATACTTTAAAAAGTAGCGCATAGAAACAGTAAAATAATACTTAGTAATACAAGCGTAATTGCTCGAGTCCATAATGTTTCAGAGCAGTGATGAAAAACAAAATATCTTTTATCATGGGTGTTGAAACCAAGAGTAAATGCCCATAAAGTTGTACTTTTGATACAAAATATGTTCAGTTTGGTGGGAAATACAATGTGCCACTGGATTGGTAGAAGCCATGCTTCAATGGCCTTGTAAAAGAAGTACGGACAAATTAACTTGCAGTTTATTATAATTCATATTTTACAGCTCAGGTTTGTATTACTGATTATTATTGCATTTGCTCTTGTCAAACCACAGTACTTGTCGCATTGTAGCTGCAGTATATCTGCTAATGTAGGTCACAGCGTCCTGCCAGGCAGCCAGGTAGCAACGCCCTCCATGGCAGCTAAGTCCTCTTGTTTCTAAATGATCTGCCAACCAGGCAAGTATGGCCTATATTACAAAATAATTAGTAGATAAATTAGTATTTTTTTTCTCATGTCTAGCAAGTTATTTACCTGTCTACAGTACCAACATCCATCGGAATTACAGAGGATAGTCAACATATAGCAGCATCTCATTCGTTATAGTTATAGTTATAGTCATGGCTTTTAGTTTTTTACAATTTCTGCTAAATAGATTAGCATCAATTTATGTATGAATAAAGTGTGCGTACTGCATTGGATTCCACATTAAAAGCATGGCATACCATTAGTTAGATGTTCTATTGTGTCTTTGCTCTCTGTCTAATAATCTCCCCCGTTCCCCTCCACCCCGTCTCTCTCCTCCTCTCTAATGAGCTGTGGTCTGTTATCAGTCATTACAGGAAGCCTGATTATCCAACTGGCATTCTGCACACGCTCACAGAGAACTTCCTGAAGGTGACCTTTCCACGTCGCCATAGTAACCGCCTCTCTCTGCTCTGAGATGCTCAGCTTGTACACACAGTGTAGTGAGAGAGAGAGAGAGAGAGAGAGAGAGAGAGAGAGAGAGAGAGAGAGAGAGAGATATGGATATATGGATGATATATGGATGGATGGATGATATATGGATGATATATGGATGGATTGATTGATGGATGGATGGATGGATGGATGGATGGATGGATGGATGGATTGATTGATGGATGGAT